GTTGGTCAGAGCTTCAGCCTTCTTAACAAGAGCAATGAAAAGCAAATGAAGTGAAAAGCCTGTGGCTGCTGAACGGCATCTGTGGGGAACGAGGGGTGAGCTGCATCCCAGCATTACTGCTGGGAAGAGCTTCCGACACCTTCCACTGAGGCATGTCCCTCCTCGGAGGGGACCCGTCTCGTGCATCCCTGGAGCGATGCTCCACAGGCCAAGGCTGTGTCTCTGGTCTTGCAGCTGTGGGTGGGTGTGGGCAGCAGCGCAGGCAGCAGCTCTGATCTGGGCAGGGAGCCCGGGCTGGGGCAAAGCACAGCACCCTCTGCAAAGAGCAGCAGGGCTGGGCCGGTGCTGGGCATATTCATGACCCTCCCTTGTGGTTTTTCTCTCCCAGGCAGTCGGAGGGAGCCGGGTGCAGGGGAGGGACAGGCTGCTCTGCTCTCCAGCCCACAGCATTGCTGCAAGGACAGAGTGGAGTTTGCTCCACTACGATGTCCCTAATGATTTCTGTGCAGAGCTGCCCCAGTATTCACGCAGCATCAGCATTTTTGACCTCCGTTTCTGCTGCATCGCAGATTCCCATCACCAGGATACAGTGCGGATGGCTTGTGCAGAAAGCCTTGGTGTTTCTCCAGCCTGACCATGCTGATGGGGAGGGCACTGGTGTGACACCAGTGTGGGCAGCGCTGTCACGCTGCAGGGAACTGGAGGGGCCTTGGAGGGGAGGGCTGGGGCTGAGGGAAACAGCCTCATGCTGCCCTCCCAGACCACCAAAACCACCCCCGCCCCTCCCACGGCAGAGGCACCCCCCCCAGCTCCACCATCACAGGGGAACCCGTTATCTAGTGGGGTCGTGTGGGCAGCCGCGCCATCCCCCTCCCAGCAGCACCGTCCTCATCCCTGGTGCAGGAGGAGGCAGTCGCTGATCATCCCTCGGCACCCAGCAGCTCTCCCAAGAACGACAGCTTTGGTGTCTCCTCTCTGCTCCACACGAGTGCTCCAGCCATCCCTCCGCACCGATGTCGCTGGTACGTCACCGTGCTGGTGTCAGCTCTGGCACCGCCTGGCAGCAGCTCGTGCAGCATGTGCCAGGGGCTGGTGCTGAGGCTGGCTGGGGATCTTCAGCAAAGTCGCAGGCACCCAGGACAGATCCCCGAAGCAAGAGGAGCGGCTCCTGCCTGAGCCCTGGCTGTGTGGCACCGAGAGCCGGCTACCGAGAGCTTTGACACCTAAACACACGAGCCTTGGGCTTAAAACTATGTGACATGCTATTTGTATGCAAATAACTCTGTGAATGCAGAAGTCCAAAAATATCATTTTAAAGTCAGCTGTAATTAAGTTTGCAGTGCATTCCCCCGCTCTTGCAGCCCTGGGGATCCCACCGTTAACATAAAGATGAATGCCTGGGTGACATTTCTCCCCCTTGCATGGTTTCACTGGTGATTTATTTATCTATTCGGGTTGTGTTTTGTTGTCTCAGCAGTCTCTGTTGTTCAGGAGCAGCAAACACTGGGAGTCCATTTATAAAAAAACAACTCTAGTCTCATTTCAGTAATTTACTATGCAGAGATTTTGTGTTTTTCATAATGGATTAGAACCTGTAATTTCATTTTTTGAATACATGGACCTAATAGCTCAGGTAATGAAAGTCTAACAAGCCTGAAGATGAGCCATTAATGAAACAGCAGGTTTATGATTCTCCACCAATATATTGTAATAGTGAATCACTTAAAAAGCTGTCCCGTGCTGATTTATGATGAAACTTGTTTGTGATACAGAGATACAGCTGTGGTGCGTGCCGCTAAATTAGCATTTCCTGACAGTCATTAAACAATGGGAATCGTAATCGGGATTTACGGGGTTTGAAGCAGAGCAGTGGGAGAGGCCAATTAAGCCACATCCGTGCTCAGGTACCTCTGTAAAACAGCCCTGTTAATTTATGCTAATGAACTAGTTCGTTCTCTTTCAAATGAGGAAACTGGTTAAGAGCGTGTGAGCGTGTGCGGGCTGGCTGCCCCAGGATGGGCAGCCCCTGTCCCCTCGCACAGCCCCCATCTCCCCGCCGAGGGGGCAGCAGGGTGGCAGCTCTGGGGCCACATGTGGCCTGGGGACCCTGTCCCTGTGCCAGCACCTGGGGGAGTGAGGATGGCCTTGGCCATCATCTCCTGTAGCTCTTCGACAGCCTGGCACAGACCTCTGGGCACGTCTCTTTAGTATCTCTCCACAGGTCTCTTCCAGCTGCTCATCCGGTCCCCCTGGACCATGGTCTCTACTTGTCCCCACGTCACCTTCACAGGGAGTGTCCTGGGTCCACTGGGGACCCACTGCCCTTGGCGCATGCTGCTGCCCCCTGCAATGCCCTGGGTCTTCCATCATGGTCTCCTTGTCATGCAGGATGTTGTGGGCTGCTGTCGTATCTCCTCCCAGTTAGGTCTTTCATGGGGTTTCTCGCTGCAGAGCAAGCCCCAAAGCTGGTGGCTGTGGACCGTGCTTTAGAGACCCTGCAATGACTTCTAGTTTCGGTCACTGGACTGATGCAGCTCTCAGAAACACCAGTGTTGCAGCATGCCAGCAAGGCAGCATGGCCGTGGCAGTTGTGCAGGGTTTATCCCATGAATAAATCAGTGCCTCGCTCTCTCCAGCTGAATTGCTGCAGCCAGGGTTGCTGATGTTTGCTTTCCCTGACTGCTTCTGTCCCGAGGCCTCGCTGGGCTACTCAGACATCCATAGCTCCAAGTCTATCAAAGTGACTGTTGTACCAGCTCCTCCCCAGCCTCCTTCCCTGAATCCCCTTGCAGGGGTGAACACCCGCTGCGGTGCCCAGCTGGGGCAGACCCTGTCTGGGGGATGTGCATTGTGGGGGAACGGGGGGCTCACAAGGAGTCCCACGAGCTGAGTTAACACCGTGCCTGCTCACGCAGCGGCTGCTGCCAGTGCCATGGGGCTGCCAGGGTGTGGACGCGGCTGGAGGGCGGCAGCCTCGCTGCCCAGTCCCCCTCGCCGCAACATGCTTGCTGTGCACCAAAGCATCTCCCTGGGTCCGTGAGGGGAGCAAGCCAGCTGAGCTCGCCCTTTCCTCTTGGAAGAGCCGTCCTGTGTCCCCGGTAAGGTGCAGCAGGAGGTGACAGACCTGGGGACACCCCTGCTGCTCCCTGGGGTCCCTGTGGCCAGGCTGCCCATGGGCTCTCTGGCAGCCAGTGTGCTGCTCTGTACTGGGCATGCGTGGGCGCCTCGTGTTGAACATATAGGCTCTGTTTTAAAATGAACACTCCTGGAGGCACTTTTCACAATTCCCCATACAGCTCTCCCCAGGCAGCTCCTGACCGTGCCTCTCAGCCTGTGTTCTGCTGCACAGCTGAATCCAAACCAACCAGTTTATGAACACAAGCCACCAACTTGCACCACAAAGTGGGAAAAGTGGCAGATGCTTCTGAGTAATGAGCATAATTGCAATAGAAGGTGCCCTTCCACCCTGCGCTTCTCCCCGAGGGGCTGGGGCAGGAGGGCAGCAGCCCCAGGGCAGGCACCCGGCTCGCCGTGGCACTGCTGCTGGAAGGGCTCCTGTGTGCCCAGAGCTGCCGTGGTGGCAGCACGCTTCCCAGCATGGGTGCTGGTGCCAGTTGGTACCCACGGGGCGCTGGCCTTGTCCTGGCTGCCGGCGCTCCCTGCCCACTCCAGCCAGGTGCTCCCTGCCCACTCCCTGCCCATTCCCTGCCTGCTCCAGCCAGGGGACCTGCGGCACCATGAATCTGGCTGAGATGGATTTGATAGTTTACTCTAGTAATACAAGACCAATTTATAAATCTTTCCATCCCATTAGTTTTTATTTGATTCAGATGTTCACATGTCAAAGCAAATGATTTAATTAGTGCTAAGCTGGGCTGCAGGGATGCTACATTTTCCCCCAGTCTGGTGCTCCCTCCCTAGCCTTGCAGCCCAGCTCCCTGCACCAGAAACAGCTGGGTGTGTGCAGGACCCCATCTCGGAGCCACTGGGCCTGACCAAGTCCCCAGCAGGGTGGGTGATACCCTCATGGGCACAAGCCCCATGTCCCTGGGCAGCCCCTTGCTCCCAGGTCCCACCAGAGGAGCAGCACAGCGCCCAGGGATGCAGCCATCACTTCCCACAGCTTCTCGTGGTGGTGGCATCACACAGCCCCCACGCTCCTGCATCCCGGCCCAGCAGCCCTTGCCCTCACTGGGCACAAGGGTTGCGTGCAGGCAGCACTGATTTCCCGCCTGCCTCCAGGATGAGGGCAGAAGGATGAGGGGACTGTGCTCCTGGTGGGTGCTGGAGGCCAGCACCCTGGCTCCTGGGCTGGCACCCTCCTCTGCCACAGGCACAGTGCTCGCTGCGGTGCCGGCAGCACGGGGAGCATGGGAGCCAGAGTGCACCGTGATGTGATCAGGGAGGAGAGACGCCACGTAATTGAAGTAATTCCAGAAGGAGCTGCTGTAATTTCTGTTGCAAATGAGAACTGATGTAGGAATGGGGGGTGAAAGGCTGAGCACAGGCTCCAGCAGAGACTGTCTGCTGGGTAATGCATCCGTGCTAGCAAGCAGGGTGGGTGACAGGACCCGCTCCCCTTCCTGGCGGCAGACTGAGCTCCAGTGCTTTCCTTACATTGATAATGACTTTACCAACGATGGGGACGGAGCAGCCTGGGCTGCCTTGCAGCTCTGGGGTCCCCGGCAGTCTGGCTGTGCCCTTGCCCTCCATCCTGCCTGGCTTTGCCCTCCTGGGAGCCGAGCTTCTCTGCCTGCTGCTGTGCCAGCAGGGCTGCCGGTGCCCCATCCTTTGCACTGGGGTCCCTTGGGGCTGGGATGGACCCGGGAGATGGTCATGGCCAGGGGCCCTCTGCAGCGCTGCAAGAGGGAGCTGCACCTGCCTGGTCCTGCCTTGTCCTGCCGGGAGGGGACACCACACCAGCCCCACACTGCAGACACCACTTCCCAGTGCCACGCCTCATGGCTCCTTTCTCACCATCACCCTCTGCTTCGCTTGCAGGAGCCTGATGCCACGAACGCTTGACAGCCAGATCACAGTGGAGAAGACCCCCAGCTACTTCGTCACCAAGGAGGCACCACGGCGGATCTTCAACATGTCCCGGGACACAAAGCTGATCGTAGTGGTGAGGAACCCGGTCACCCGGGCCATCTCGGACTACACACAGACGCTTTCTAAGAAGCCGGACATCCCCACTTTCGAGGGACTGTCCTTCCGCAACCGCAGCCTGGGGCTGGTGGACACATCCTGGAATGCCATCCGCATTGGGATGTATGCCGTGCACCTGGAGAGCTGGCTTCAGTATTTCCCCCTCTCCCAGATCCACTTTGTTAGCGGGGAGAAGCTGATCACGGACCCAGCCGGGGAGATGGGCAAAGTCCAGGACTTCCTGGGCATCAAACGGGTTATCACGGACAAGCACTTCTACTTCAACAAGACAAAAGGTTTTCCTTGCCTGAAGAAGTCAGAGAGCAGTGGCTTGCCTCGCTGCCTGGGCAAGTCCAAAGGCAGGACTCACGTGCAGATAGACCCCGAGGTGATCGAGCAGCTTCGGGACTTTTATAGACCTTATAATATCAAATTCTATGAAACAGTCGGGCAGGACTTCAGGTGGGAATAAGCGTCTGGGAGCAGAGCCGTGGTGACGTGAGGCTGCAGTCTTCCATGAAGGGGGCCCAGAGGGGCTGGCACCAGGACCCCCCCGGCCAGCCCGTCCTGCCCAGAATCTGTGAGCAGAGGCAGGCAAGGGGCTTTCCCGACCCTCGGGAGGCTGGGATGCTCCAGTGCAAGCCGAGACAGGGGAAGACACAGAGTCCTGCCGCAGCCACGAGGGATGAGTGCCTGGCAGGCACTGGTCATCGCGGCAGGTCAGTGGTGCTGTGGCTCGCTCCGTGGGGTCCCATTTGCTTTTACTGCCATGCGGTCCCTGGGGCCACGGTGATGGCCCTGTCTTGCAGCCCATTTGCAGGCTGCGCCCAGGCACATCCTTCCTCTGTGTCTCAAAGCAAACCGGTGCTCCCGGACACCCTCTGACTGCGAGCAGCGGCCGTGGGGCTGTCCCTGCAGGGCCACATCCCGCCACAGTGCTGGGGTGGGCAGAGCTCTGGATGCTCTGCTTTGCCTTTCATCACTTAAGCACAGCGTGTAACCATGAGGACAGTGAGATGTATCTGCTTGAAAAAGAAGTCTATGAAAAATGTACCAATATTTTGTCCTGTGAATAAAGCACAGAATCCTGCTGTTACGGGTACTTTAGTGGCACTAGTTTCCTTGTTCAGCATGTGATCCCTTTGTGTAAATAAAAGCGGCTACCACTGGTCCGTATGCATGGGCTTTTCTTAGGGCAAGGCTGGGCAGCCCCGTGCTGCACCGCTGCCCGTGCAGTGCTGCCGAGGGCCATGCAAAGCCCCACTGCAGCCACGGGTCAGGCGAGGTGGCAGGCATGGGGCTTGGGGCAGGACAGCCTGGCATGGCGAGGAGGGGACCTGTGGCACAGCCCTTCACAGAGGTAGCGGCACCGCTCAGGAGTGGCAGAGGACCCCAGGGTTAATGCTGCCTCCTGCCAGGGGCCAGGGGCGGACGCTGCATTAGACGTAAGCAGCAGTAATTTATGGTTGAACTTAATGGGCTGTTCTACAGGAGCCCACAATTACACTGAAATGTCAAGTGCTGCACACTTTGCTAGATGGCTCCCCCAGCCTGTGCACACCTCCCGTTGCATTAGTCATGGTTGTCCTTTGATTTACCTCCCCAGTGGCTGCAGCCGGCCCCGGTGGAGGTGCTGCACCATGGGCAGGCTCTGCAGGCAGCCCCTCCTGCCTTGCCTCAGCTGCACGAAGCACAGCAGCAGATGCAGCACCTGCAGCCAGGCACTGGGGATGTGCTGCAAGGTGCACGTGCCCTGGGCAGCTCCTACACCGTCTCACCGAGCCACAACAGGACCGTGCCAGCCGGGAGCTGGGAGCTGCCGTAGCTTCTCCAAGCAGGGCTGGAGCAGAGCCCCCCATCCCTCCCTGATGCACCCCAGCACTGCTCCCTGCGGGCGCACCCTCAGCACCAGCCCAGCCACTGGTCCCCAAACCCAGCCAATCTCTGCAACACTGCAGTGTCTGGCAGCGTGTAGGTGGGCGCCCCTCACCCCAGCCAGGTCAGCCCCATCGCTGCCCCTCCTGCAAGCATCTCTCCCCACACCTCGCTGAGCTGATCCCGGGACCAGCCGCCCTCTGACTGCTGGCACGTTCGGGGACGGGGAATTCTCCCAGCTCAGCATTCTGCCTGGAGCTGAGATTGATGGGCTGCATCCTCGGGTGCTCGGAGCCGGGTGCAGCATCACTGTGCTCCTGGCTCAGTGCTGCTGTGCTCCCAGCTCAGCACATGGCGAGCAGCCGGGGGAGTCGGGGACCCCGTCAGCTCCCACAGGGCTCGGCCACGGGGATGAGCTGCTGATCACCATGCTGGCACGGCCAGGCAGCGTGGGGTCCCAGCCTGCCAGGGGAGTGCCTGCTCTGTGGATGCACACACGTAGCTCCATCCCATCCTGCAGCAATCCATCTTACAAACCTGTGAGCAGGCCCTGTAATGAGCACCACTGTTCATGAATATCAATAACGGCTCTTGTTGGAGTGGTGTTATTTGCCTTTCCGAGTGCTGGACTGTTTGAATCATCTATTGATTTTCGTAGTAAATCTCAGGCATTTCTGTCAAAGGTTGCAATTTACCACTAGCATCTAAATCTCAGCCCAAGCCTTCAGCCTCTCCCCCATGCCTGTACAAACAAGTGTCGGTGCCGTTCTGCAGCCAGGCTGTCCCCAGGGCAGGGAGCAGCCCAGGAGCGGCAGGACGGGCTGGGAGGCTCCCACCGCATTTGCCAGCGCAGCGTGGGTGCCATGGCAGGGCCAGTGCTTCAGGCACTGATGGCTGTTAGGTCCCCATGTGCTCGGTGGCAGAACAGCCTAGGGTATGACAGGCCAGTGACAAAACCCCCTTCCCAGGCCCCCTCCACCCGCTGCCAGCATGGAGCTGGGCACAGCAAGGGCGATTCCTGGCCAGCCCCGCTCAGACTCATCCTCCGGTCGCAGCGGGGCCACAGGAAAAGTGCCTGGGTAGAGCGGCAAAGGGGGGGGTGTCCTCCCAGGGTGGCCGTGATCCAGCAGGGCATGGTGTCACCCCGTGGTGTGGTGGACACAGGCACCCCCAGAGCTGGTGAGTCACAGAGGCAGGCTTATGGACACATTTCACTCTGAAACCTGTGCTTTCTGCTGGGGCTGCACAAGGCAAACGCAGAATGGAGGGATCAGCCTGAGCCCAGCCTGAGCAGCCGCTTGGCTCCAGGCACCTTGGGGACATGCTGGTGCAGGGTCTGTGACAAATGCCCAGGAAAGGGCACACGTCTGGGCAGGACCAGGGGTTCAGTTTGGGACAAGGCTGCTTCCCCTGCCTCGCACTCCAGTGTCCCTGCATGCACCACAGGCTTCCCTGGAGAGGGGTCAGCTGTGGGGCTGCTGGAGACCCCAGGCAATTTGTCGATGTGTCTGGAGCCCCATGCCAGCAGGACCAGGGCACAGGTGACTGTGGGGAGCCACGGCCCCAGACACCCTCTGTCCTCTGGCACAGGGCTGGGGGATGCTTTGGAGTGATGCACAGTGGCCGTGTGGGGATGCAATACAACCACGGACCAGTTTAAGAGGCCTTACTGGAAGTGATTACTGTCCGGCAAGCTCTAATAGGAAAAAATTGGAGGTAATTAATGGACATCTAATAGAGCCCTATCTGCACTCCAATTTTGGAGCAGCAGCCACAGGAGCTGTGGGGGGACGCAGCAGTGGGGGGACGCAGCTGTGAGGGTACCCAGAGCCAGCTGTGGGCAGGCAGAGGGAGAGTAGGGGATTAACAGCTGTCTACAGGAAGATGGAATGTTTTCTTGTATGATTTTTCCTTTAAAGAAGAAAAACATTCACAGCGAGACTCACAAATCCCAGCCTCGCAGTAGAAAAGCCATTTCCAATCCACTCCAAGGAGGCAGAAGGTGCCGGGTTAGATTGATCCCCCTGACAATACTGTATTAGTGGGAAATTAGAGCTGGAGCCTGAGGAAACCACCGCAATATCAAACAATTACTTTACATTTGTCCTTACAAATGGAAGGAGCAGAAATGTGCTTAAATCAAGTATTAGGTTTCCAAAGGGTAAGCAAATGAGGGCTCAGAAAGGGCTGTACTGAAAATGCTTATCACATTAGGAGTTCTTAAAACGCAGCTTAAAAAGCCTCGGAGTAGACTATCTGCATTCTGAAGAGGTGGGGGTGGGGTTTGGTAAGGATGTGGAGCGATGCTGGTTTGGTGACGCTGACGCCAAGCACAGGGGCTGCCAGAGGCAGCTGCCCCGCTTGGCCAGCCTGGGTCCTCCCCACTGTGAATGCCCCCAGCGTGGGGGACGTGGCGGGCCAGAGCCCCTGCTCCAGCCACAAGAGCCAGCTCAGGGGCCCAGGGCCCCCAAAACGCCTCTTGCTGGCTCCTACAAGCCACACACCATCCCTGCCTTGCTGCCTCAGCCTCCCCGCAGGCAGGGGCTGTGCAGCCCCTGGGTGGGCAGTGGCGCCAGGGGAGCAGCCCGGGCAGAGCCGTCAGGCAGGGCTGTGGTGCTGCCCTCGCTCACAGAACAGTCACTCACAACCACACTGCAAAGAAGCAACACATCTGCTGAGCAGGGGTCCCGCGCCAGCCACCGCTCCCCGAGCACAGAGGCTCTCGGTGACCACCATAATGCATCACTGGCCTCCTCTACTGAGAGCTCCGAAATGTCAGTAGGTCCCACCAGATGCAACGATGCGATTTCAAGTAGACCGGCTTAGCTGGACTAATCCCCTCCCAGTGGCTAAATCTGCTCAGGGCTTTGGCTTCGCGAGTGCTGTGAGATCTGGCCAAGGCACGCAGGGCTGTGGTCAGGGGGGAGAGCCGTTGAGTGCAAGGGCGGGACTGGCTCAAGGTCCAGCCATGGTGTGTTTGGCAACACCTAAACCAGAGGATGGTTTCCAGCTGCCCAGGGAGGGGTCTTTGGTGCAGCCTCCCCAGCCAGGCAGGGATTAGCAGTGGTGCTCAGCATGCAGGGATTGCCACCATCACCTGTGGGGAGAAGGAGGGTCCTAGTGCAGGGCCGTGCATGCATCCCCGGAGGAGCAGGGATGCCAAGGGATGTGTGTTGGGGTCTTCCATCGCAGCCGTCAGTGACTGTTTGTGTCCACTCACAAAACGCTCCGTATGGCCCTGGGCAGGAGTGAGACCCACAGTGCAATCACAGGGAATTGGCTTTGTGAGGTGTGTCCTGCGTTATCCAGCTGCCGCCCCAAACGGCTCCTACACCATTAAACAGCTGTAACAGTCAGGAGGAAAACGCTTTCTTAAGTGCTAACTTTATAAGCCAGCACATAAATTGTAACAACCGCTGTATAATTTTTACTGGGCTGGAAAGTATGCGACTTAAAGCAACTATTTCTTCGTAAAGGGTGATGGAGAGCCTTGCTAGAGCATACTGCAAAGCCTTGATGAAAGTGTCCAAAGACAGGAGGAAAAGGGGACCTTTTGCTGACCTGATTAACATGCGTGCCAAGTTCAATGTGTTGAACCCAGCTCGCCCGTGGATGAGGGCTGGGCTGCAGTAACAAGATGCCAGAACTGGAGCTGAGCACGCAGGAACACAGCGCTGCCCTGCAGCCAC